AGCCTGTACTGGGAAAAATCTACAAAACCTCTTGACCAGCAGGGTCTACACCATGTTAAAGACAACCAGACTCTTTATGTGTCGCTCCACAATGGTGGAATGACCTACAAAGAACAGTCCCTATCGGTCTATCTTCGAGAAACTCTTGAAGATAGACCTCCTTCCCTAAGTCTTACCCTATACCCCAACTTCTTCTTAGATGTAATTTATAATGGAAAACCACCTAAACTATGTAGAGCTGTGCGGGGCTGAAATGTTTAAGGGTTAAAACAAGGTGTCTGGTGTAAAAAAATAGATAAATAAACTCTGCATTGAACAGTTCTTGCACGATAAAATCAAGGTAATATTACCAAATACAAACGCATATATTCTGTCCTTTTAACTAAAAGAAATTGCTAATCGATTTGGCCAAGACACTATAAAAGTGCAGTACGGAAGCGTCTTTTTTACTCCTGTTATGACATCTCTGTGTACAGCGGTTGGTTTTCTGATGGAAGGACTTCCAAAAGCTTAGGTTAACACAGCGGTGAACTAAGAAATTTAAGAGAAACTAACATTTCTTTACAGGGGATAACAAAGAGGGCACCCAAACCCGAATACAAACTGAAATAAGAAAAAAAAAGAAAAAATTAAACAAAGAATGGACCTGAAAATACAAAACCAGAGGCAGAAAATACAAAGGTTAAGACGAGGACCTGCCAAAGACTGAAATGAACTAACAGAGCTGAGCTGAGCTGATGACCAAATAAGACGGGAAACATTCAGGGTTTGGACTTTCACTATGCACAGAAATCTGGTTTCTGTTTGTTTACTGTTTTTTTCATACCAGCTGTATTGACATAAAATGTCTGTCTACTCCTGTTAAAGCAGCCTCTGGTGTAAAAATATGATAAGTCACTTTCCCCCCACGGTGTGACGAGTCTTTATATCAGAGCAAGATTGTAGACGTTAAGCAGTTGGACACTGTCAAGAACCACTAGAGTAATTAAGCAGATAAGAGGGCTGGAGGCCTGGGAATGGAGGCTGTGACTGTTTCAACTTTTCAGCTCTGAAGGAGTAAGGAAAAGGACACAGGATGGTTTTGCTGTCTGTTTCTGTCAGTTTTAGAGACCCAGGTCATAGTCAGGGTACCACAGACCTTTTTCAATCTGAAGGGCTTCAGAAAAGCGCATGTGTTCACAACCAAGGTGGTCATGAACATGTTATCGATACGCTCTTAACTAAGGGCTTTTGGCCATTTATCGGGAATACTAATTACTGTGCTTGTTTCACCCTAGAAACAATTAACTTTACATTGATTTACTTATACTGTTTACCACGGTTTTTTTATGTGAGGCCTATTTTCTGCCACACATTTTCACTTGGTTGGTACACAGCATGGCACATTAATGAATAGCATCAAAAAATGAATGCGACAAAGGCCTTTTAGTAATCACTTTTGCTAAGATTTTGAACATTTCTGGGATACTTTCTGAGTTTTAGGGTTTCAGTTTTTTGCCCTGGTACTCAGGTAATGTTCATATTAAAAATCCTAGCTGCAAATATATTGGCAGCAAATAGATCAGACAAATGATGTGGCTGAGACTTTATTAAGGTTAGAAGATATTTAAAGAGCCTCTGTTGTGCATTTCACGTTTAAAGCAAACTGTAAATGTTTTTCTCTGGTTCCCAGTTCACTTGTGCAACCCACAGACAAAGCAGGACGAGTGATAGAGGTTTTATTTCAACCCAACCTACACCTTTCTCCTACAAAATACTGCTTTCTATGAAAATCGTAGACAATCTTCACCATAACTCTATCTCCATTAGTCTGTTGACAGTAATCTGAGATATCCTTCAAACTCAGACTAATTAAATGGCATCTCAGGTACTTTTTCTGTTGTGCTCATCTTTGAAGAATGAATTATTTTCAACCCACTCGTCCAAACAAAATGGGTCAAAACACAACTTTAACTAAAAAAAATGAAAATTTGGACTATTCTTCTTCTAAAGTCAATATGAAATAGCATAAAATGTCAAATCGCATAGTTTGGAACAGTGATACTAGACTTTTGTCCAACAAAAAAAAAAAAATTGGCTACAAAGATGAATCAGGGTCATGTCATTTGTTTGGTTTCTTACTGTTTTCAGACATATCAGTGACACCCAAAGCAGGATACGCTTGGTCAGATTTTCTCATCGAAACTATGACGTTTGGTCATTGTCCTCATTCGCCTTAGTTCTGGTTTATACCTGATACGTTGCCTACATTAGGGTAAAATTCTGTTATTTAGCCATTAAATGTTGCGTTAAACACTAAAGAAGATCACAAACAGAAAGCATAGAGCTGTTGCAGAGCCCCTTTCCCGAGGGGGTCATGGCCCAAGCAGATATGGTGGGCATCCCTGATTTTTATTTAACTTTTTTCTCGTTTTTCGGGATGTGTCGAATGTTGTGGCATCGACAGAGAGCTGCTGTTTTAGATGAACCCCCTCCATCTTTTCATGGGGTTGGACAGATTGGCAGAAAGCAGGTTACTGCCTGGGAAAATTATTATTCAGTTAAGAAGTGGAAAAAAAGGAAATATTTGGGAAAAGTACGATCCAATCCATTTCAGTGAAGGTTAATGGAGCCTATCAGTGATTAGAGGATCTTCCTCCCACACCAGGAAGTGTTTTTTCTGCTCACAGAGCACATGATGACTGACAGCTCCCCGTCCTTCCTCCACAGCTTCACTGGAAACGATTGCTGGACAGGATTTTCCACGACAACTTCCCCGAGGACGAGGAGATCGTCGTGCTCGCCACGGACTACATCCGGAAGGTCTCCGACATCATCGGAGACTCTCAGAAGAGGTAAAGAAACCCAGAAAGGGGTTGCTGTGTGGAGTAAACGTTGGGCAGAGGAAGAGGAAGCGTATTGAAAATCGATGAAATTAGATGCATGCCTTTTTGAGGCTGGACTTTTTAAGTGTGAGTAAGCGCTTTAGTTTGAGCTTGTTTTTTTTTTTTCCCGCCCTTGTGTGAGTCGCCTCTGGTTTCGGGGTGTACGACAATTTTGGGGGGCCACGGCACGGTGTGTGGCGAGGTGAATGGATTGGATCGTGAGATCTGCTGTGTGTGAATTTGTGTATGCATGGTGTGTGCATATTTGTGTGTGTGTGTTCGAGGTGAGTCACTGTTGGGTGAACTCCAGTTCTGCTGCTGCTGATTATTATTGATCTGTACACACACCGCTCTACCTCCTGCAGGCGCATGGACACACACACACACACACACACACAGACGCACACACACACACACACACATACAAAGTCTTTCTTTCTCCTTCTTCTTCTGACAGACTCGAGGGGAGACCTTAGAGGGCTGCTGTACGTCAGGATGTGGGGCTACAGCCACTGACAGCTCGCCAATAGTCACTCTGCTCTACACAAATACACAACAGCTAACACACAGCCCCCCCCCCCACCCCCACACCCCGATCATGGCTGACTGGCTGGGTGACTGGCGGCCTGAGTTCCAGCCTGTCATTAATGTCTGACACAGGATACACGTCCGGCTATCAGCATAACCTGTTCAGACATTTTTTGTAATTTCATGAACCGCCAGTTCACGATTGTGACAGTTTTATCCAGCGCCGGCCATTTTTTTTTTTACCCTCTTTTCCCCTCTTTCACCTCACGGCATTAGATCCTGCGGCCACGGATTGATTCCAGTGCTCGGTACGGTATCGATCATTCATACGCATAGAAAAGTAATCAGTTAACCGGAAACATAATTGACTAAATCGGAGGCCCAGGTTCGTAGTATCTGGTGTGCGGAGGATATTTCAGAATGCTACCGGTGACTGATGGCTTCTGGTTTGCAAAGCGACAGCACCTCACGTGAAGTAAAGCGCTAATGCAGGAATAGATTACTGTGGAGGAGCGATCAGGGGAGCTGCTCCCTTTTGTTGTACTGCAAAAAAAGGTCCGACATGAGTCAGCACTTTTATTCTCTTAAATGACTCACACGGAAAAACCTGACTTTGTGCAGTCGCTCGACCTGACATTTTGCATGTCAGCAGGTTTTTTTTTTTTTTTTTTTTAACTCCAATTTCGAGGAACTCGTGTATTTATTCCGCCAACTTCGTTTCAAATGACCCGCACCATTATTTTTTTTTCTACTGTAATCACAGGGGTTTGTCATTTAATGCACTTTTATACTTTTCATCCACTTGTTATTTGACTTTCTGCTGTTTAATTTAAACTTCGTAGGGACTGAGATGAATTCAGATGGATAGATGTACATGCTTTAAAACCAAGTTCCCCAATCACTCGAGTCCTCATTTCACTGACCTATAAATGGGTCAGTCCACCAAAAAGGTGCCATTTGGTTGTATTATGTGTCCTAAATGGAATTTTTCAAATACATATTTCAACTCTTGTAACACAAATATGGAACTATTCGAACTAAACAATTCAAATTTGTATTTTAACAAAAAAATTAGACAGATTCCTTAAGACATTTATATTTGTATAACATAATATATAACTGGAATCACACAAAATTGCCCCAAAAAATCCCCAAAATGTTTATCTTTTTTTTCATTATGAACTGGAATCACACAAAATTGCCAAAAAAAATCCCCAAAATGTTTATCATATTTTTTCATGATGTTCATGGTGAAGTGGGGACGGCTGACAAATGCTGTTTTTTCTGTGTTCAAAGTAGCAATCAATAAATCCTTTAAATAATAGATCTTAAATCATTAGACCAGGGCGCGGGGCTCTTTACTGATAAGAAATCGCATTTTACGGTTAACTGTCATGTGCATTTGAACATAGAATTTGCCAGGTTACAGAAATATTCATTCCATTTAGTGGAAAGGCCCAAATATTACATAGTTATTGCATCCTATAGACAGTATAAAGACTCCAAACATAAACTAAGTCCAGTTCTTTATGCCATCCAGTGCAAAGTGAGGGCTTCTCAAACACAACACAGGAAGAGCCGGAGGTTAAGTTGGCATAAAGGAATGCTTCTGAGAACAGGACTGTTTATATTCCGGTCAGAGAAAAACAGACGCTTTAAGAAGAAAACTACTTGAAAACTGAGGAGGTTACCTCGACATCATCTGCTCAATATATGGTGGGCTCTGTTCCCAAGACAATTTGACAATCTTTTACTCCTTTGATCAAGGAGGTAAGCAGCTTGCTGCTGACACAGATTTGAAGTAACACAGTGGGTGTAAGCCTCTCAGATGGAAGACAAACAGCCCAGTCGCCGTGGATTCAAGGGCCTAAAATCATGATGTGACACACTAGTAGTTGATTATACAAACTCTATACAAAATACAACCTTAAATTTTCAGAAAATTTCCTTACATGAAGGGAAAATCTCCCCAACTGATTTGAACTTTCCTCTAACAGCTGTAATCAATAATGTTGAGACAAAATGTTTCAGGTAAAATCCAAAATGAACTTAATTAATTATTAGGGGTTTATTCTCAGTCTTCGGAGGCATGGTTGGACTTCTGGACGTATCCAATCAGGCACAATATAAAGGCTGTTTTTTGCAAAACAGTGCAAGATTTTAGTAAATATCCACAGTTTTTTTTTTATATTGGATGTTTATCTTTTATCTTTATATAGGAAATTACCACCAGCTATACATTTGCCTGAATCTTAAAACGTTAGACACATATTATAAGTTGTGTTTAGCTTGCTGAATAGAAATTCACTATCAAATGTATATAGAAAAAAAAATCACTTTTTTTCTTTTTTGTGTTTCATATAGAATCACTGTTGATTTTCTGCTATTAGCTTGTAAACTTTTCTAAATAGTAAGTGCTGACAAGGTGGGCTGGTAGGCTGTGCGGGGAGTATTCTGGGTTTTACCTGATGGTAGTTGAGACAGACCACCCACAGAAAGAAACTGGTGGATTAAATACACTTGTTTAAGTAGCGTTTAGTTGAATAGCATAGCAGTTCCACTTGATTTCTGTGTTTGTGCTTGTTGAATTGGTTGTTATGAATGAAGAATGACTTTATGGAGCTACCTTTGGGGCACTGAGCTCTCTGCAGTAAGGAAGCAGAATGAGAAGCGTAATGACTTTTCTGTAGTTTTCTTTTTTTATATTGTACTTTCTCCGGTTTCTCCGGTTTTGATTGGTCGAATGAACCTGCCCACAGATCCCTGCAGCCTCATCTGCCAGACAACCAAAATCTTGATACGCACAACTGAGGGGCTGATGCGCCAGCTGTTGTGCGCCAGCTGTTGTGCACCAGCAATCCCAACAGCAGTCAGAGTGAGCCGAAAAGCACCCATCAGAGTGGATCTCCATGAGTTTATTTCCAACCTTCGGACTCAGTGTTTCACTCTCTCACTCACCCTTCACCGGTCTCAGACCCCAAAGGCTCCTCATCCATCGGCATTCAGCTTCTGTCCCTCCAACAGCTTCTCCACTCTTTCCTTGTTGATTTTCTCTCTTTAAAGTACGCAAAGCCATGTAGTAACACAGGTGACGGACACCTGATGAAGTGCCATCGACTGGCATAGAAAATGATCAACTCTAACACAATAGAGAGAGAATCCAAATGAATGGTAATTCATCTAAACAACCAGGATCCAGGATCAGACACATGGCCTTGAAACACTGAGATTTTGAGTGAAACTCAATACGGCTTCACACATAGCTTCCTACATATGCAAATCACCCATTTAAAATTTCTAAAATTATTATTATTTTTGCATGTCACTGAAAAAACATCCTGTTTTGGCTCCAGATTGTGGATAATAGTTAAATGTCTGACAGGCATAAAAACTATTAAGTAACATGAATGAATACAAATTGAACTTTCAACCAATAGTAGTTTAATTTTTGAAAAATGTTTTTTAAAGTCAAATTCTTAGTCTGTAAATCAGAAAATGCTTAATCTACAATAGAGAGGGACAAATTATCTTTGATATAAACCTGTTCATATCAATCTTTTTTTTATTTCCCAACATACACAAGATCAATGTTTTTATAACAAGAGACTCAATATCTTGCCAGATTTAGTTTTTCGTTCATAAAATCTTAGAATTGAATTGAATTTTTGGAATTGTGTTGTTTTTTTACTTGATTGTGATTTAAACGTTGAAGACAGATCATGGGTGGAAAGTACTAAAGTGACCATTCATCTGACAGAGCCGGACACAGCTTGTTGTTGATGCTGATCAGTAGAAAGCAACATTTATGGGATTAAAAACAATGATAACATAGCAAATCAAATGGTAGCATCGATTGATATTTATATTTTATAAATGAACAGTACAAAACAATGAACCAGTTAATGCATGTTAAACATACAAATAAAATATTTGTTTGATTATCTGTATGCCAGATTTTTTTGTTTAAGAAATATACTGTACCAATCCATCCTAAACTGTAAGGATTAGGATATTGTCTGGATTATGAAGTGATATAATGAATGTTTTAGCAACCTTTATGCAGTGATGCTGGACCTCTCTGATAATACAACACAATGACTTACAATGGATACATCGGAGTGTCAGAATATATAATATGATGGCACGATAGTGAATAACGGGCTACCTGCAATCAAACCCAGTCCCCGTGTTTACAGTGACACTCAAACGCCACAGTAAAATAGAATTGACTGATGTGGATGTTTTTCTTTGACACCGTGATGAATGAATGCATGATTTATCCCTCCTTTTATTGCCCGGCCCAGCCTTTCATTCACTTCATCACCTTTTCCTCTTCATTCTGAGATCAGCCTCTTCTTCTCTTTTCCGTGTCCTCTTTTCCAGCCAAACGTTTTTGCCGGTCCCTGGAGACCAAATCCAAATCCTTAACCACCAAATCCTTAACCACCATACCTTAAACACCTCCTGACAACAGCAGCCACGCCTCTGTGCCTCCTCCTCCTCCTTTCTTTTTTGCTTCTCCTCGTCTAATGTATGCATGTGTGTGTGTGTGCGTGTGTGTGTGTGTGGTCCCTATGCACCGCGGTGACTGTGGCCAATGCCATTAGCCAGATGAGCAGGCCTCCAATGAAGGGGAAAGCATAATGACAACACCGGCGTGTCTCTCCTACACATTCCTTCATCACCGGTGACCCCCCCCCACCCCCTCCCCCTACCCCTCCCTCCCTCTCCTATCCAATCACTTGTCAGAGTGCCCGTTTGTGACTGTGGGAATCCGATGTGTGTTCTGGTTGTAGTCATTTGGATCCTTAAAGCAGAGTCTCTGTCATTGGCGCTCTTGCTTAGGTGAGTTTCAGTCAGTGGTGGAGAAAGTACTCATACAATGTACTTAAGTAAAAGTACAAATAAACAGACAAAAATTTACTCAAGTAAAAGCCAAAGTACCACATTATTATTTTACTTAAGTAAAAGTAAGAAAGTACAAGCTTTTAAAACTACTTAAGTATTAAAAGTAAAAGTAATTGCCAACCATAATACCTAACGGCTTATATAATGTCATTAAGTGTACCTGTCGTATTTAGTTTGAATAAATCAGTCCTGCGTACTGTGCTGCTCTTCTTGAGGGAGGGCCTGATGGTTATTTCCCGCTTTGGATTGGTTCAGCGGACTGATTCTGCTCTCGCCATTGGATACTTTCAAACTAACGAACAAATCAAAAAACCGAAATGCGTCTTGGATGTAACGAGTAACGAAACGCTGTATATAAATGTAGTGAAGTAGAAAGTACAGATACTTACTGTTAAATGTAGTGGAGTAAAAGTAGAAAGTATCCATTATTAAATCTACTTAAGTAAAGTACAGATACACGGAAATTGTACTTAAGCACAGTAACGAAGTACTTGTACTTCGTTACTTCCCACCACTGGTTTCAGTGCACCATTTGAGAGTTGGTGACTAATCCAGAGATGTAAAACAGCAGCAGTCGAGCGTGCGCTTCCCGCCGCGTACATCAACTTTATAAAATGTACACACGTTATTCAGAGGAAGCGGCTGGCTAAGCAGTGGGTTTTATAGCACTCCGGTTTTCAGGAGTCAAGGTTTGATTCCCAACAGGACGTGCCGGGCATAAGGAATGTGTACCCAAGCCTCTGTGAGCTGCATTTTACAAAAGTTCTGACTAAAAAAACATCGGTGATTCTCAGTCTCTGTTTTGTTTGGTCTCAGACTGACAGTTTGAGTTTATATTTTTTGGTTTGACACTTCCCTATTGAAGAAACTCCAGATATTCACACTTAGTCAGTTTGAAATAAAAGTGCAACCGGTGTGACGTTAGGAATGGAGGCGGCCCACCCTCCTCCATTACCTAAAGGGGGTCATTACCTGAAGTAATGTGCTAATGTAGTGCAAAGGACAGTGTCTTTTCATCTCTGTAACTAGCCCCATTAAAATCCATTCAGCTAATGAGCCCTCACTCCGTGGCGCGGTGATTAAGACCTACCGCTTTATCTGTTCAGAGCGCTCCCTGTGCTTTCATTTAGCTCTGATCCGGCTCCATCACCGAGCAAAACTTACCGTCACCGAAGCAGTTTGATCACGTGTTGTTGTTTTTTTTATCTATCCGGGCCCACTTTGAGCAGCAAATGATGTAATGCTTATTAAAGTTTGGTAATGTTCGAGGTACCGCTGTGATTTTTTTGTGATACCACCGTTAAACGTTCTTTTAAAGTTTGCTTATGTTTAAGATGAAGTAGATTTACTCTACTAATTTAGTCTGACAATAGTAGCTGCTAATTACTTTCATTATTAAGATTGTACATTAAAGAGTGTAATAGGTTTATTAGCTGTGGCACAAAGCCCATTACATTATCAGATCTCCCTGGGGTTTCTTGTCATAGGTTTCAAATATCTACTAGCTATAAACATATATATTTATATATAGTTTCTTTAAGACATCTCTGTTCTACTTGGCTTCTCTAGCAGTGTTGTTAGGTCTTTATTTTCTTCCTTTCAACAAAAAATTGCATGACAAGCACATTAAAACAAACAGTTAATGAAGCAAAGCCACCTCACACATAACATATTGATTCGTTGATGCTATCTTAGCCTTTTCGTTTCCTTAAACATACATTTTCCACTTTCTGCCATCCGCTCTGTTTTTCCATCATGTTAATTCACTTTACTTTTGCATTGTTATTGGTACCTTAGGGCGCGGCTGCCGAGCGCCTTGACTTAATATCTGCTATGCATAGGGAATTTAAAAAAGGGGGAAAAAAACACATGGGAAAACAACAACAACAACATGCCTTGAGGTTTGCACGGAACCTCGCAGTGGGAGAAGGGGGCATTTGTCCCTGCAGGGTAGATTAGATGTGCATACCAGTAGGGGCACGAGGACACATACCAGCGTTCCATCACACGCGTGTGTGTGCGCGTGTGTGTGTGTGAGTGAGTTGGGGTGGGTGGCACAGCTTGAATACATAAATGAATGATCCATTTTCTTTCCGTCTGTTTGACATTTTCCTCAGCTCTGCTGTTTCTTCCAGTCAGAGTGGGGATTGGAGGATGCTGTTGCTTTACTGGTGCTTTACTGGTGGAGCCTGTGGCCTCCACAGTGTCACTGGTTTCTCTCTGACTGCTCAGACTAGCATGTAGTTACTATGTAATAGTACATAAATGTGTATAATATAATACACACAATGTAATATAGTGTTCAAGGCTTTTAGCAGTGTGTTTACACACATTTTCCTTTATTAGCAAGATTCCTCAAGAACTATAAAGCTGACTCATGAGAGGTGGTGCAAGGATAATGTTAAGGACCATGGTATAAACCTTTGTAAATATGTGAATCACTTTAATTCAAACTGATGCTTTGTTACATTAAGACAAAAAAAGGCTAGGGTAACTTAATGGCAAATAGAGAGGTTTCAAGCGGAAGATGAAGAAAGCTGCTGTCCAAAAGGAAAAAAAACAGCATTCTCACAAACACTAATCTGGATCTGAGGATGAAGATTATGGAACCTTCTGTTCAACTTTCAGAGGGAGACCTTTTTTTTTTTTTACTTGTTGACGTAAAACTTTAGTTTTACTAACTTTTGGCTCTGTTTTCCCCCACAGTGGAGGGACATCACACCACTGGGATGAGCCGTGCACATTTAAAGCCAATGACATGGTTTTTGTTAAGATGGGAAGAGGCAACAAGGAAATTAATACCCACAAAAATGAGCCTGAGTCCCAGTTTGATTGTTCCTCCACTGAACAAAGTCTCCTTGTTTAACGACTCAGTAAAAGGGCTGTTGGGGAAAAAGTAGATGCTTTTGTTTTAAGTTGAAGTTTTGAGTGGCTTATCAGTACTGGTCTGTACTCTGGTACCCCTTATTTTTTTATCTCAGAACATCTCATTTAGCAAAGCAGGTATTTTTCCAGAAATAAACAATGCCGTTTTGCTTCTGTTCCAGGGTTCTCCACAACTACATGCTGTGGCGCATTGTGGCAGCCCTGAGTGAACATCTGTCCACCGCCTTCCGCAGCACCATCCACGAGTTTTCCAGAGAGATCGATGGCACGGAGCAGCAGCTGGAGCTGGGCAGGCTCTGCCTCACCCAGGCCAACAAACACTTTGGCATGGCCTTGGGGAGCTTGTTTGTCCAGCAACACTTCTCCTCACAGAGCAAAGCCAAGGTTTGAATATGCATGGACTTTTGGACTTATGGTGGGCTACTACAACAATAGAGTATAGAAGCAATTCAACAAAGTATTGAATAATTGCATGAATTCTTCCTGTGTTATTAGAATTTGTTTTAAATTGCCTTTTTTTTATATTTCATATACGGTAATACACTAGAAAGACAGGAATCTAGCAAGTGGTGCAGAATACCCAAAGTTTCTTCTTCTTTCTGACGTTTTTTTTTTTTAAGAATAAGGTCAATTTAAAAGGCAAAAGTATTTTATTTTCCAAATAAAAAGTAATGTGGATGATATGGATAAGAAGACATGGATGACCATACTACATATATCTAGTATATCTAGTTTCCTTGTTTATATCTTATCTAGTTTCCTTGTTCTCTCTTGGACAATACTCTTTTGGGGAGTATTGTGACAAGTGGAGGATAAACACTGTTTATAACACAGTAGTTTATTCACTTTAAAGCAACAGCACACAAAAGATAAATTAAGATTAAAGATTCCAACACAAGGTTAGGTGTTATTGTAAAGAGCTTATGAAGGCGAGTGATTTCCTTATAAATGCTTTGCAAGCATTTTTGTGAACAATATACGCCTCTATTTCAGCCGTGGAACAATGTAGAATCACCTTGCACGTGATTATATTGCAGAGGAGGCCGACTAAAATCACAGACAAGCAGGGTGGGCTATAATTTATGGTCGGGCATGGGAATGACCATGAACGAGCATTATGTTAAGTTATCTTTAGCCGTCAGGAATACTTCTTCATGAACTTTACGATCAGCCAAAAGCATCTTGTGGTGTTGTGCAATCATTTTCTCCGATTAAACTTGACACCCATTTTGGGGGTAAACAAAGATACCTTTTGTGATAAATGTCTCACATGTGAGTAAAGGAGTCCTTTAACAACTCTTAGTATTCTGATTTGTCCTGTGCTGTAACTCATCAGGTGCCTATTCTTCAACAATTCCAACATTACAAAAGGTAGGACCTAGAGTGCTCAGTACAAATGACACTAACTGAGGGACCCAAATGGCTTCATAGCAACCCCCTGAAACCCTACGAGGGATAAGTGGTACAGACAATGGATGGAAGGACGCATGTTTTTGAAGTACAGTTGGAAGCTGGAGAATCTTGAGGAACCGATAGCCTGACTGGATGTAGTTTTCTCTGCCTGTTTAGTTGATTTAGCATGTGTATCCTCTGTTCCAGTCATTAAATAGATAAAACACACAGCATTAAAGAAGAGGAGGAAAATAAACATCCATCTTCAGATTGTAGATTCTTGGAAATGCCAAAAAAAAAAGTTCTTCAGCTAGTATAAGCAGATCTGATTTTCTTAACTAAAGCAGCATATTTGTTCCCATGCCCTTACCTGTTTAGGTCATTATTTTGTATCTGTTATGGATACACTACAACAACATAATCTAACTCCTGTAATGCATGTACATGTTCCCACATTCTCTAAAATTTAGGAAAGGGCTGTTTCCTTTCTCTTGAACACCAATCAGAGTCTGAACTTCTCACCCAAAGACTTTTGTCTCAGTCTGGGTTTTCTGCCCGGGTTGGTCCCCTTCACTTTCCACACGATATCTGATCTTTGTATCATGTCCTTTCCAGGTCATGGGGATATAATTCCCAATGGGTTTGCTAACCTCTATAACCCCGTGCACTTTCTATAAGCCCCTCACCATCTCAATTTCGCCATCCTCTTACTTCTTCTCTCCGCCCCACAAAGTTCATCCCGTGTCAGTTCCTCTTTCCTCTTCTCTTCCAAACTTTTAAAATCTTCCAAAGATCAGGACTATAAAACAGATAGTAAAGTCTTCACAAATCTGAGCAGTAACGACTTTCTCTGCATGATACTTTAATTGACAGTCAAGTTACCGATTCCCAAACTCCCATTTAAGATTCTAATAAGATGCCAAGTCTCTCCATTAAAAAAAAAGCCTCAAGCCAGGGGAGTGTTTGAGAGGTTTTTATGACCGAGGCTTACCGCATTTGGTTCTCATCATTTTTCTGAACATATCGGTGGTTTTCTGCTTGGACTGGAGTCAAAGACTTGATCATTTCATACCATTTAGCCATTGGTATTTTAGCATGTCTGCACAGGTCTGTAGAGGACCTAATGAAAAGCCAGAAGGTACGAGACCAGAGGCCAATAGCAAAGGTTGTAGCCTTTACCGACTCACTGAAGATGCTTCCCTCACAACAAAAAAGAACTAATGAGTCCTCTGAGTAGAGGCGGGAAGTTGTCACGTTTCCAAATGTAGCCGGTAACAGGAAAAGTTTTTGTTTAGCTTTTTATCACAATTTATTCTTGCTTTTTAACAGTCATTGTAAGAGTTCTAAATATCGTCAGCCATGTGTCATAGCTGTGGAAACTTCAGTCAGACTTTCGGAAGAAAGTTCTTCTTTAGAGATCATTAGCAGCAGATTGTCTCAGGGCGTCTGTGGTTGTGTTCAGGCAAACAGCAAATTTCTCATGATGCATCATGCTGCTTTTTAATCCGACTCTCTCTTTTTCTTTTTTTTTCGTCTCAGCAGTGTAGTTGCCTCCGAACTTCCACTTTCACCGCCGATCACATGTTCTTTTTTATCTAGCAGATTTTTATTCTGTTCCTGAGTTCAGAACCCAGATCACCAGATATAACTGGTCTCTGGTTCACTGATCTCAGTTTTACATATTCAGTAAAAGTATTTGTTTTTGTTAGTTTGTTAGCAATATGCAAATAACTAATGGCTAATGGCTCAAATTGGGAGTGGATATGGAGCCCGGGCATGTGAATATAGTTTTTGAAAACATGATTTCCCAGATACAGAACTACAAAAAGCTTTAAAAAATCTGGTGGAAAGAATCAGCATTCACATTAGCACACAGTTTTATTCATCCGACCCCAGCTGTTTTCTCTCACTCGCACTTTGAAAATAGCACATGTGTAATGCCACAACAGCTAAAGAAAGATTGCAAAGCAGCTTTTAAACCTCTAAACATAGTTAGACCAATCCAGCAGTTGGAGCTGAGCTCAGTTTGCTGGGAATGTGGTCTCTGGCCGAAAAGTATTGTGTTGTTTCATTCCGAACGTCCCCTTCCTAACCTAGTTGTCGCCAGCACAGCTGCCACCAACCCACTTCATGGTTTTTAACATTGTCGGTGGCCTTCAAAATGTTTTTTTCCCACAGGTACAGGAGCTGGTAGAGGACATAAAGCATTCCCTGGACCTTCGGCTACAGGAGCTGGACTGGATGGATGAAACCACCAAGGAGGCTGCTAAAGCAAAGGTTTGGAGCCTTTCTGAGCTTTTGCCTCGCAATCACGACTTCCTCCCATACCTGAGTGGTATTTGTTTAGTCTGATTGATTAGTTGCTCAGATAGGAGACTAATAGGATACATCAGGCTTGACTTTGAGAAGAGAGAATGGCCTAATCCAGAACACTCTGTGGTGCAGATTTAGGCGTCTGCACTGAAAGATATCCCTCCTAATACTTTTACAATCTAAAGTTATAATCCTTTTTGAGGCCCGTATGGAATATAAAGAGCTTCCTGTAATCCTATTACATTGGGTTCGCCTGATTAGCTGATGCCATGTGTGTGTGTGTGCTCCAATAGGCCCGAGTCCAAAACAGAGTATGTATGTGTAGATATTAGTTACACTACTACAAGTGTGACCAGGCCAGGGTTGGTTAGGTCTGTTTTTTCTTTCTCTTTTTTTTCACATGTTTGTCTTCTATTCTCCCAGCTAAAGCACATGATGGTGATGACAGGATACCCAGACTACTTGCTCAAACCTGAGCTCATTGATCAAGAATATGGGGTGAGTCTCAAGCCCTCTTATTTCTCCCTGAGCGCCGCGGTCATCGTCACTGCTCTAAAGCACCCATCCATCAGCCATTACAGCCAGTTGGCCCACTATTCTTCTCTCCTTCTTTTGGTCTTGTCGTTTATCATGACTGGTTGAATTGAAAAACACACTACTTCTGTTCCAAATGTTTGACGGACGAAATATTTATCTCAACCGTAAAGTGCACATAAAACAAGGAAGTATGCAGCTCACTTTGAAAAAATAAGTGTTTCGTATCCTAAAGGTAATCCATGCAATTGTGTACGGCTCATGGTGTTAAGATTTAGTTTAAAATGAGGAAGATGATAATAAATGTTGAAAAAATGACCAAAGTCTAACATGTTATGAAGGTAATTTAAGGAGGCAACAGTCTTCGTGATAAATCTGAGATCCACACAAGTTTTTAAAGGTCATAAGTTGTAACATTATGTGACTGACCTGCAGCAGAATGCTCTCAGTTTCTGTAATCAAAAGTTCTCCTGATGGCCAAGCTAAAGCTTAAAGCTCTGAGACAGTTTCTGAGATCAACTTCTGGACATTGGAGAATATATCTCACTCCAACTTGTTATCACTCAATGAAAAAATCCTGAGATACACAAACTCCTCCTTCTGAAGCAGACACTCATAGCTTAGAACTCCATCTTTTTTCCAGTTGAGAGCTATGGCCTCAAATTATAAAGACCAGACCTTCATCCTCCAGTGCAGCTTAAGAGCCATCTGTCTAGCCATTTTCTATACTGCTTATTCCAAGTGCAGTTTCAACACAATACACATAGAGAAAATTCAAACTCCAGAAAAAAAGAGCCAAGCCAAGATTCCAAACAGGATTCCTCCATCTGTACTCAGCACCGAGATTAAAACCTCTGAGGATTCAGACAGAAATCAGAATACTGAAAACCACAACAACAAACATTCATTAGAAAGTGCCGCATTTATGAGCAATAGAGTCACAAACTTTGTTAAATCTAATCAGACTTGAACTCTCGAACAAATGGAATGCTGTGGCAGCTTTACATTCACTTCAAACCAGAGCCTTCCTTTAACAAGACTTTAATGTTTTAGTTAACGCCGTTAAAGCGATATCACGCTCTTTGCGTTGATCCAAGGTGTAACCATTTTTAGAGGCTACACTTTTACAGAAATAGTTTGGCATCTGAGACCTTTTGCATCATTTCATGGTAAAAACTTGGTTCAAAACCGTGTTGTACACACTCAGGTACACCTGATAACAGTGGGCAGAAGACTATGCACAATCATTTTTACTTAGTAAAAGGTAATAAATGACAAATTTTCAAAAATCATTTCTGTTTTTTCTTGAATATATTGTAAAGGGTCAAATAAAGACTTCAGACAATAACAAAAATTCTCCCTATTTTTTATTGGACTGGGCTTTAAAGGGTTAAGACTAATGTGTAAATAAATACGGTGTTCAGGCTCCCTGTTAAAAAGAACACTTGATTGCTGAATTTAGTTTAATTTGAGTTAATTTAATGTGGTATGACCACATTAAATTGACTCAAATGGTTCTTTTTGTCTGCAAAAATCAGCTTATTTGTATTAATTTATTTTTTATGTCAGAGTACGGATTCATTCAGCTTACAAATCTTTGTCTCTGTGGGTTGCAGTTTGATGTGGATGAGAAGACCTACTTCAAGAACATCCTGAACAGCATAAAGTTCAACATAAAGCTGTCTGTCAAGAAAATCCACGAAGAAGTGGACAAGACAGCGTGAGTGTGGCGCCTTATCGTCATCAGTTTCAGAGCTCCAGACCTCATTTTTCAGCCTTCCGGCTCACTGACATGCAGTGCATGCAATTAAACCCGGAGAAGCACGTGAAACCGACACACACACACACACACACACACACACACACCACGCTCCGGTATGTTCGACATGCCTAACATGTGTTCCCGTGGATATATCTTTTCAGTTGGACATGTTTGTTGACGCGCCTCCAAATTAAGCCAACAAATGCCAAATGACATAAACAGCTACAGAAAAAAAATCCATTTGATTTACTTATCTATAGCAGTCAGGCAGCAGAAAAAAGTGCTCTGGGACATTTTTCTAAAATACCAGATTGAGTGCATCTCTCATGACAACACATTACAGTCACATTAGTATTCCATGGCCCAAAACAACTGTACCCACACTTAATGCCCCCAAAGAGGAGAAATTACCCTTTTGCCTTTATCACCTCGTATCGCTAGCACTCTGTCACTCTTAAATAAATAAAGAAAGATAGAAAGTTGTCTTCCTCCTTCTCTTCCCTGTCTGTATCCTTCCATGTCTCAGAGTCCATTCAGACCCGTTAGGCCTGCGTTTTAGTCGTTAGTTAGTGAATGTGCCATAACAGGGAGGTCAGTGGGAGGTTGGTTTCGGATGCTTTGTGAGAGCGTGCATGTTTATCCGTTTGTCTGACAGTGTTTTTCTCTCCTCAGATGGCTTCTCCCACCACAGGCTCTTAATGCCTACTACCTCCCGAACAAGAACCAAATGGGTGAGTGGACGGATACCTTCTGTTTCCACAAAGTCAAACATAGCAGCTCCGGGAAAGAAAGAAAAAATCCATTCCTTTACATTTCTTTATAGCTTTATCTCAATCTCATGTACTTAAAATCCCCCTGGAGGAAAAAAAAACAACCAGTAACACCTCTCTGGTTTCAGCCACTCCCGCCTCACAGAGTCACCCCTCCCATTTCCTCCCCTCTGTTTCCCCTCACCTCCTCATCGTCTGTATCTGCCTGCCTGCCTGCTGGATTCAATCTCTTCTGGAACACAAATCAATGGTGTGCTCACAAGCTGTACACGAGCAGTCAGATAAACAGTCATCAGGGCTCGGTGAATCATTTTTCCCCCAAAGCAAGACAACTTATTTACTCTCTATGTTTTCTCAGCCTGGCTGTTTTTTCCCTGTTCGGTTCACCTTTTAAATTCATACTTTCAGTTGTTTTCTGTTTTGCACAGCTTTAGTTAACACTGGCTCTGGTGTGTAAACTTTTGACAGGTTGTGGTCATAGTGTTTTATTCTCTTTTTGGCATGGTAAATGAGAGGCAATTAATAGTTAACACAACGTTGGGACAATTTCGTTACCTTTCAAGGGGGATATTATTAATTTATTATATTTTTTTTATTAAAGATATGCTATTGTTGTGGAATAGTTCTTTTAACTGTAGAATTTAGCATTGTGTTGCACTGAAAGCTGTACAGTGGTGTGGTAGTGAGCATCATGGCCTCACAAGCCTCCCAGTAGTATTGGAATAAGTGGGTATACCGAGACACAAACTTCTGTATTGATTTCAGCAGATTCCAACCTTTCAACGTTGTTTTAACTGCTCCACCGGACATAAAAATGTTGTTTTATTTCAAGCAAATATAAAAGACACCGACAGCTCCTCTGATCCTCAAAAATCAGATCACACGGTGGTTCATCTCGCTTTCGGTTACATATGAAAGCAGCCACCTGATGGCCTCACTAAAGGGAAATCTAAAGTATTTGCGAAGACAGAGGAGTCTGAACAGAAAGCTACTGTACAATAGGGAATTTTGACCGAACCCTGACCATACCTTACGATAAAACCTCCGAAAATTGGGTCAAATTGTTTCAAAGGGTATCCCATGTCACCTTTAAAGTTAAAGTGGAGAAAATTGTTGGAAAATGGAGAGAGCCAGGGACATTAGTTTCAACAGAGGGGATAGTTATAGTTCACGCTGGTGCGCTGTTTTTTTTTTTATTCAAAAGGATTTTGTGAATACTGGTTCCCTTTGCAGCATGACCTGTGCTTTCTGATTTAACTGGATCATTATTTCTAACAGTGAAATTAAGAGTAGAGCATTTTAAGTCAAATCTCTCATTCTGCCGTTTCATCCATCCTCAGTTTTTCCTGCCGGCATCCTTCAGCCCACTCTCTACAACCCTGATTTTCCACAGTGAGTAAAACGCCCACCCACTCCCACCTGAGACTCCCAAACTTCCTCTCTTATTCTGCCTTTGTTCCAACAAAAGACATTCAAAGTTGTGCTAGTCTGTAAAACCACCACTTCCATTCAAGCTCCTAAACCTCTGAGTAAACTAATGTGATTATGTTCCTCTTACTGAACAAAAAACCTCCTTAGTGAACAGATGTGTCTCTGACTCAGTGTTAAATAGTTCTGATTTACAGTTGAGAATAAACTCTTCATAAAACTGGCTTATCTAGACAGTTTATTCTGAACATAAATTACTGAAATTGCACAATTAAGATTTATTGTATGCATTTTTTCACGAATACCTAAAAACTGAACAAAAATGCAGCAGTTGATGAATAAGTGAGTATTTGTAATAATAACATCAATTAGTTTACCATCATTCTATTTTTGTCGGTTTACAAAATCCACAGATTAGCTTTTATGTTGTTGCCATGTTTCCAGCAATAAGGAAGTCCACAAATAATTCTAAACCACAAGAACTGGAATTCATGCCAAGTTTGGAAAACATTCATAGGATCTTAACAATCTTTGCATTTAAAAGCAAAATGAACCAGAGGAAATTTCAAAATTACTTTTAAAGTTGCTGCTATGACTTCATTTCAGACACTTTTTCCATGCTCAGCTGTGGGTGTAAAGATTTGCTTTAAATTTTTAAACGTGAAATCATCCCTGGGTCAGATCAAATGTACCAAACCGCTCCCAACCTGACTGAAAAGGTAAATAATAATTGACTTGTGAATCATTGGATGTCTTAATAGAGTCTCTATAAAGACATCCAGTGATTCACAAGTCATTTAAAATGGATCATCCCATTCAGATGGTACAGTAAAAGCACCGATAGATAGATAGATAGATAGATAGATAGATAGATAGATAGATAGAT